TGGATACCTACATGGAGGACCAGTGTCTGATGTTAGGAACAACATTCGGGCATCAATGGCTGCATGGTGGCACAGTTGTTAGCACTGTTGCCTCGCAGCATGAAAGTTGCAGGTTTGAAACTCGGCTGCGGCCTTTCTGCGTGGAGTTGCGTGTTCTCCCCATGCATGCGTGGGTTTCCTCCGGGTACTCCGGTTTCCCCCACGGTCAGATCTATCTCCGAGTCCGAGAACTACACAAGCGGTCAGCCCGCACAGAAGCTAGCCGCCGCATCGGTCAGGCTGCCCGGCCTGACCGCTGCGGAGTACCGGATGGAACAATGGAACACATAAGTGTCCCTCCAAGCGCTCCGTCATATTTCAACCCATTTTTATCTTAAATGCACTGGGTTTTACCCTTTTACCCATCGAAATATGCCCTATTAATTATTTTACCGTATTTTACATTTAAATTTCATGGTTAAACAGTACATGCTACATGTTAAACTGATAGTTAGCTAGCTACTTCGGTAAACTCAGCTAGTTTAAAGGCGGCAGTGACATAAAATACAAATATAGATTTTAACTTACCGAAAAAAATGAAGTGGAGACTCCTTGGACGCTCTATTAGTGCAATTAATACCACAGCAAGTCATTTTGTCCAACAATTGCACCAATAATATCCAAAACAGAATTCACAAGCACAGAGACTCAAAATCCCGAAACAGTTTCCAGGAGAGACCGAGGCTGTAATGAGGCCTTTCCACGAAGCTAGCTCTGTGGTCACGTGGGTCTGAGGCGGCGGTCACGTGTGTCGAATGCTCATTAATTATACAGAATTTTAGGCTTTCAATACACTTAAACAGAAGAGTGAGAAAAAAATTCACCCTCCTCAGAGTTGTCATGAGTGTAAACTAGATAATTTAGACAAAAAACATGTTTTGGTACCAGGCTGTAAACATGTTTATTTCTGCTGTGAAATTGGCATTTTTAACATGGGAGTCAATGAGGATTTGCTCGCTTCTGGCACCAGCCCCCAGCGGATGAGGGTGGAACTGCAATTTCTCTTACTTTTGTGTTGGGACCATTTTTAGAGCCGCATTGTGGGGGCTTGGTCCATCCTCACCTCCTCCATCGCTGTGTGGTACGCTGGAGCCACAGTGAGGGACAAACATAGACTGCAGTGCATTGTGCGCTCTGCTGAGAAGGTGATTGGTTGCAGCCTTCCATCTCTCCAGGACCTGTACGTCTCCAGAACTCTGGGGCGTGCAGGTCGGATAGCAGCTGACCCTTCGCACCCGGGTCACAGACTTTTTGAGCCGCTTCCCTCAGGCAGGAGGTTACGGTCCATCCGGACCAGAAACTCCCGACATAAGAACAGCTTCTTTCCATCTGCCGTTAGACTTGTGAATAGATTATAAACACACAACCATGCTCGTCTTCTGTACTCGACACAACGTCACGTTATCGGCCATGTTACCATTACCTGACATTTTTTATAGCTGAAAGTTTTATTCTAGTTTTTTTATTATATTTTATTCTATTTTATTCTATTTTTAATCTTATTATGCATGTTATATGTAGCACATTAGTACCGAAGCAAGTTCCTAGTTTGTGAATTGTTTGTTCACTGACAATGGCAATAAACCTGATTCTGATTCTGATTCTGACAAGATATGAATAATGAGATGTGATGTGGTGGATGTGAGGTGTTGTGAGGGAAGCTAGATGTTGTAGCAACCGTTCTTTGTATCTGAGAGAAATTGTGAAATCTTGGGTATAAAAGAATTTGTTGTTTGTTATAAACTAGAGAGTTGTTTATTAAAAACTGCATCAGACGCAATCTGTCGTGCCACGTCTACGCACCCTTGGTTTGGAGGTTCTCATTCGATCCGGGGAGTCGATGGTCACTGCCGGTGGAGTGAACTCTGATATCGGGAACCCGTAGATAGCTCCGATAGGACCCGTCCAGTCTGAGATCCCTCCAGGTGAAGGCAGGAAGCTGGAATGCTTGTTTGTATCTAAAGTTGATGTTTGTTTGGCTCTTAGAAGAGCCGGTTGTCTGGTATCAGCCGCAACGTTGCAGAGAGACTTGGACAGGAGGTCAAAGGAGAAGATGGCTTCAAAAGAGTCTTCTTTCCCGATTTGGCCGAATCGGGAGTCAGCTGTAAACTGAATTAATCAGGAAGTAAATCCTGTTTTATTAAACTACTTTGTTATGATGTCTGGCCGAGTTTGGCCAATCAGAATTTGACACGTTTCTGAGTATTTACTAACATCCCTCAGAAAGCCACGCCCTCCTCAGATACGAAGATGTTTTTAACCTTAACATGTATCTTGTTGTAATGTGTATGAGTGTAAACAATGTTTAACTTGTTAAATCAAATAGTGATCATAAAATCTGAAATGGATCATTGTAAGAACAATATTCACTTTAAATTCATTGATTTAAGCACAGATTATTCAAACATTTGATTTAAACGTCTTGTTCATTCATCACATATGATTATTTAACTTATAACTATAAAATCATGGAGTCTTCACTTATTCAGAGTGAAGAATGTTGACGTGAGGAGTGAGCACTACCTCACCCCTGCCACGTGGACCTCAAGGGATAAGCCATCAGTCCTGCTCAATGGTCAACTTTCATCCCAGGGTCACCCATAAAGACAGTGGGAGGGTTAAACATATTTTTAATCATTTTTTAAAATCTTTTTTATATTTAATCTTTTTATTTTTGTGAAGCGCCTCGTGATTTTTATCTTGAGAGGCGCTATAAAAGGTTGTTTTCTTTTGTTACAGTTCTGCTGTTGTTTATTTTCGTGGAATTGTAGTAATCTTTTGAGTTGTAATGTGAAAAGCTACGCTGGATTATGAAGGAAAACAAATCTGTCCCACCAAACCTCTGAGTCTTTTATTGGCTCATGTTTGTTGCTAGTGGAAACGTTAACAGCATAGAGGAAAAACCTCGTGTTTTCACAAGACTTTTGTAGAAAAAAGGTGGGGACATGTCGTGCACGTCCCTCACACCATTTTTTCCAAAGTAACTTTTTGTCCCCGGCATTTTTTACTGCCCAAAACCAGCATTACACCATATGAAACAGACACTGGTGGAGCACTAGGACCAAGTGGAAAACAGCCGCTTGTGTTGAAGCCTGTTTCCCATTAGAACCGTCCACAAGCTCATCTATTGGCCCTGCTGATGCTTGCTAACGTGTGATTGGCTTTTCCTTCCACCTGTGTACTTGACAGTTCTGCTTTCCTGGCATTGCTTCTAAGCTGTAGTTTTATTTATAACTGTATACTTACTATAAAGACCCCCCCAAACAGAAACATTATCATATAACATATTCTTAAAAAAAGGGAAGTGCTAGAGAATAATTTGCTGAAAAGAACCAAAACGATGCTCAACATCACAAAATCTAGTTTAGGTTCTTTATGGTACAACAGCACGAACTTTGCTGGAAACCTGAAAACACCTTGAATAAGACATGTGTAAGAACCCTGAGTGGTGCTAAAAGCTTGGCTGCCATCTTGTGGCAGCAGGATAGAAACAAACATCCTCAGCAGTCAGTGACGAACCCAGTTAAAAAAAACACAAAATAAACCAGTTTCAGATGAAAAATTCAAACAGTTTTTCACTTTCACTTTCATTTTACGAGTATTATTCTCATGTCATGTTGTGTTCTCATATATTTATATTTTAGAGACTTGTCTGTGAAAAGTTCATCAGCTCTGCATCAGCCGAGGTTTTCCTTACATCTGAAGCATCTAGCGGTAGTCTAACGCTACTGGTTAGTTCTGGTCGGCGCTCAGTTTCCTATTGCACGGAGCTGTGCGGGGCAGGGGGCGTGCTTAGCAACAATAAAAAAAAAAAGTATTACTTACATTTTATCACCATCATTTCTGAAAGGGGAAAACTCCGAAAGATACTTTTAAGTGCTCGCCCCCGTAATCGGAAGGTTGCAGATTCGAGCCCTGCCCAGTGTCCAGCTGCTACTGTGTCCTTGGGCAAGACACTTAGCCCCCCTTGCCAGCTGGTGGTGGTCGGAGTGACCGGTGGCGCCTGTGTATGGCCCCAGGGCAGCTGTGGCTATAGCTCATCACCACAGGGTGTGAATGACTGATTGTGTTATAAAGCGCCTTGGGGGGTTCCAGGAACATCATCATCAGCTTGGATCAAACCTAGCGGGAACGTCTATGAAAACTTGTGTTTACGTTTATTTTACGATGACAGAATCAAGAGGCTGTAGTATGTAGTAAATCCAGGGTTCTCCAACCCACCTGGTTTTAATCCAGAGGTGATCAACAGGTTTCTGCAGAGCTTGATGAGCTGCCGAGCAGGTGATTCAGCCACTGAATCAGGAGCAGAAAAACAACTAAAACATGCTGGAAAGCAGATCTCCATGACCAGGCCTGACACTAAGTCTCCCTGCCTTTTTAAATGAGATGGTAGAAAAACTGAGTTTTAGTTGTTTTGGTCAAATATTAAAAGTAAAGTTATACCTTGTAAGTCATGAGATCTGTGAACAGCAGGAAGTGTTGTGATTCCGTTTCAATGATGACCTCAAAGTCTCTGAAATCATCAGTTAAAAATGTTTGTGTGGCTCCTTAGTTCTGGCGGCCATATTGAATTAGGTTGAAAGTTAGCAGAAAGTTGCAGATGAACATGCAGTTTTTAATTTCTGAGAGTTTCAATGAAGAGGCTAGAACACTTCAACCTGCTTTTAGCTGGTGGATCACAGTGACAAATAAAAACTACCAAAACATGCAGCTTTTCTGTTAAGTTTATCTTTGATCGAACTTATAGACCTCCTTTTGTCCCTGTGGTCTCTGACCTGTTATGAACACGGATATCAGACGCATCCTGCTACACGTCTGACATTCACCAAGTCCCTCTAACAGTAAACAAGTCTGCTGAGACGAGAAGAGCATCGATGCACTGCAGCGTGGAGGTCCACAACCTTCAGTGTGGACCTCCACAGAACCGGTGCTGCTCCAAGGACCGGATTCAGCACAGGAAGGAGCAGAATTAAAGCTTTAATCAACCAAATCTGATAAATCAACACAAAGAGTTGGCACCTTTGATTTACATCTTCAGAAATTTACAAAAATGAAATGAAAGATGAACTTTTTTTAATTGGCTTGTAGAAAAGTTTAGTCTCAACCTGAAGTCGTCTCCTAACAGGCCAGAAACATTTCAGTTAAAAAGTATCTTTGTTTCTGTACCAGCTGTGAAGAATATAACTATGTTAAGCAGATCAAATACATTTTGTTGAATTATTTTCACCATAAACTCTTGAAAAGCTCCAGCATCAGTCTGTTTGTGTGTCATCAGCTTTTCTCACATGACCTGCTAAAACTAGTGACCAAACGAAGAATCGCTGGGAAAAAATCCAGAGTGGTGATGTCATTGGAGGTCACCAGGAGCCGTGACGTAAAAGCACGATGAAAAGCTATGGCTGACTGGTGGTTTTTTAATTCTCACGTTTCTGTTCTTTTATCAGAGTTTGTGCAACATTTTATGTGTAGAAGTGCATCACGTCAGACTTTGCTTACATCATTATTTTATGAATAGCATCGTCTAAATCCGGATCCATCATGAAGAATGTGAGAAGCTAGCATTTAGCTAGCAATGCTCTGGGCTGCAGCAACATGTGAAGTTTTTTAGTTGGAGTCTTGTTGTCTGGTGCCAGTAAAACTTTTGTTTGTCACATACAGTAAATGTAGTATGGATGTCACACAAACTTCTGGCTGAATTTGGACCAACATTTACATTAAATCCTGCAAAGGTTACAACATTTGGCACTTGTGACTGTCATGTAACCATGGACCAAAAGAGAACTGGGCCTGATCCAGTCCAACAGTCATTTGGTCTTCAGGCAGCAGGTGATGTGGATGAGGACCAGGAGGCTTTGCTGAAGGCTGCAGAAGGTCTCCATGCTGCTGCTGTGGTCTAGAAGGCAGAGGAGGCCAAAGCCAGGGAGAGGAGGTCAGAAGTGGAAGGAGAGAGAGGGGGGGGGGGGGGGGATGCTTCAACACTAGAAGCTCATGAAGCACCTCAAAGAGGAGTGTCAAGACCTTAAGAAGGTAGAAGATCCCAGGTGGCGCCAAACCATCTACAACCACAGCCTCAAGGCATCCAATAATTGGAGGAGTGGAAGGATCTGATGGATGAGGACGTCTGATGTCGGAGTTCCAGATGACCTCTCCAGCAGATTCCGGTCTGCCTCTGGTAAACCTCTAAAGAAAGGCAACCAGGAGGTTTCCTTTGAATGTGGAGGATAAGCAGCTGTTGAAGGACGCTCTTCACCACATCGTTTGAGATTCCAGTAAAGAGGGAACAGGGACCTGGGATTGCTGTGGCAGCCCAGTGAGACACTGGCTGCATAGCTTTGAATGATCTAAAGCTCAGATCATTGGTGCAAGAAGAAAGAAACTCAGCTCTGTTGCTTAGTGGCACCCTGATCTACATCGATAAATTTGGATCCGTGTTTTTGAATTTCCCAAAAAGCCGAAAGTTTGGAGGACTAACCTCATTTTAGAACGCCTGATGGTGCGAGCTGAGACGTTGTGCTGTATTGTTGTGTCTGACCAAACGGTGTGCATGTGATGTACGTCAGTCAGACACTCCCGGAGCCGGGCGGCGGGTTGAAAACAGGAATGTGCACGCTGTGCTGAAAAACTGAGCTGTGCTTCATGGTTGTGCAGCAGATCCACAGTATGGGTCATCTCAGACGGCCGACTCAAACTAAAGCGATCGTTTGACTCTTTGGACGTTGACATGAATCAGTCTTTGTTGCTCTGACACCTGCTACAGGAACAGAGGATTAATTATTTATCTGCATTTTCTATGGATGTTTGAAAAATTACAATCACATAAAATCTAAAAAATACATAAACTAAAGACAGATAATAAACCTGGAGTTCAGCCCTCGCTATAAAACAATGAAGGCTTAAAAACAGAAGTGACACAGTCATGCTTCAGATCAGCGTTCGGCTGCAGCTGAGCAACGCCGGACCTGCAGGAGGTCAGAGGTCAGAACTAAAGCAGCCAAATGGGTTTTTGGCTTCGTATAAAAATAAAATCAGCGTTCATTCTGCTTTTCTCTCTTTGTTTCATATATAAATGATAGAAATGTGTGATGCCTGTAGAAACTGTGTGTGTCAATGGATGAATGACTAATTGTGTTGTAAAGCGCCTTGGAGGGTTCCAGGATTCTAGAAGGTGCTATATCACATACAGGCCATTTACCATAGTTTTAATATGAACTCTTTCTTAAACCTAAAGGTGATTTTGAGTTTTTTATACGACAGAATCCAGCAGCAGGAAGACAAACGGTTATAAAAACACAAAGCTTCAGACGGACGTTTTGTAAAAGAGGAGAAAAACTGGGCTTTCAGCTCCTTTGGTAAAAACAACAACACCCTGGGCAGAGGAGGGGCGCTGCCAGGTGAAGTTAACCCATTTTAGTCTGTTTCCATCCTCTTCTTTGCCTCAACTGCTTTTTTCTTCCTCTAGTTTAAAGAAAGCGTTGGGTTAGTGGACGGACGCAGCATCATGTGATCAGGCAGCAGTTGATGCAGCGAGGTCCCAGTCTTCTCTTTAGAGCTCCTTTCTTTCTCTTTGGAGCCAGAATGGCAATGATGGCCTCATCAAACACCGTCTTCAGGCCCTTCTGGGTCAGCGCCGAACATTCCACGTAGCAGCATGCACCAATCTGGCAAGAAAAACAGGTAATGTTTTCATTATTCACCACTTCACAATATGTGCAGGTTAAACTATAAGAGGGGTAGGCAACCCTGGTCCCTGAGAGCCGCCATCCAGAATGTTTTAGTTGTTCCCTGCTCCAACATAGTTGATTCACTGGTTCAAATGCAGCAGAAGCCGGCTGATCACCTGCTGATTAAAATCAGGTGTAATGAAGAGGGGAAACAACTAAAACATGATGGACAGCGTTCCTACCTCAAAACTATACAAAGGGTCGTTTCCTCTAATCCTTGTAAGCCCGTCGTTCTACAAAGGTCAGTGGAAAACTTTCAAAAACAGCTGTTGTCCCAAAACAATCAGGCCTAGGTCAGAGGTCACCGCTAAAACCAACATGCCAGCTCAAGTTTGACAAGTTTTGTCTGAATAAATCACAAGATTTGAAAAACAGCGGCCAAAGGTGGGTGCTTTACCCATAATGCACTGTAGCATGTTCGGAGCTGAAACCAGCTGTAAGCACGGAGGTGGAGGACTAATGGTTTATCCTCCATGCAGTCACACAGACAATCATGAACTCTCGTAACACGAGTCTACCTGCCGGACAACTGATTGGACCAAACCGGACCATAAAACAGAACCATGATCCCAAACACACAACCCTAGCCCTGCAACAGAACCAGACTCCGCTTTTCAGTTTAGTTCAATAAACAACAATCTGGAATTAGCTGCATGTTTTTCTTCACTTGAGTTTAGATTTGAATCTTTTTTAAGCCTAGATTGTCAATAAAAGCCGTTGAAAGATAAAAAGTTGGTAATTCTACTCCAGGAATCATAGAAACCTCTGACAAAAGGAATGAAATCAGCAGATTTTGTGAAAATTAACAGTTTCTGTCGAGTTTTTCATTTACAACCCGTCAAGACTAATAATCTCTGGTTGGGGGAAAACAGCTGAAACATTAAACCAAATGCAGAAGCTCTGCTTTTAATACCATAAGATGAGCTCATTTTGTGCCTTAATACCTCAGAAAACTTAGATGGCCTGTATCCTGCTGTTTTATACGATCCAGAGCAAAGGTGGGCACAATATATGATCAAATAGCACCATTGGCTTTACAGAGATGTCTTTTTTCATTAAATATAACTTACTTTCATGAGCCACCCCTTTAACCTTGAAATAAGATGCTTGGATTAGATGAAACCCGCCTCTCCCCTCTGTATGGTTTCTACAATAGTACACAGCTGCAGACCTGCAGACTGCAGGTCAGGGTAGAATTACACAGAGGCTTCCATGGGAGCCCAGTGAGGGGGGTTCTATAGCCTTGGCCCCCAAAATGCCTTGAAACGGCCCTGGGTGTGGGACTGAGTTTTGAAGGTGATCTGAATTGCATCAAATACACAAATATTACATGCTTATAAATTATTACTTTATAAAGGTAAAATCGTGTAGTGAGATAAGTAATCTAGGTAGAAACAGGATATGAGCCGGGCTCCCCCTGGGTGTGTAAGTTGAGGGCTTCTAGGGGAGCCTGTCACCCTTTCAGGGGAGCCAGGCTCCCCATAGCTCCCCTGTAATTCCAACCCTGCCACAGATTCATGCAGGCATTTCCCACTCAACAAGCAGTCTGTTACCTTCCTAAAGATAAAATCCAACCAGTTTAAGATGAAACTCTTCTTCAGACCACATGTCTACAGCTGGACCAAGAAAGTATTGTTGGATGTTTTTAGAGAAAGGAAGGCAGCTAAGTTTAGCTTTTTCAGGGGTTAATAAATCATCTTTCTGCTTGAAACCCACACAAGAGCCTAACTGGACTCACCAGCCGGGTTCTGACAGTAAAATAGACACCTCTCAATTGCTTGTCTTTTTTTCAACACACAAACCTCCTTTGCAAGTTTCTGCCCCTGTTCCATGGTGATAGGCTTCTCCTTTATGTTGTTCAGTTTGGAGATGGTTTTTGGATCATCACGAAGGTCAATCTAGAGAAGAAAAGAGACCTTTCCTCAGAAACAAGGCCACATTCAGGCAGTTATAAAGGATTACGTTTTATTAACATCTGGTACTTTCTGTATTGTCTGGACTGTATAAGTGATTTCTCAACATGAAACAAACCATGTTGACCCACACTTCCTGTTCTTGTGCAATACAACGTTGCAGCAAACCATACGGTTCCTCAATGGTCTTTAGATGGTTATGATTCTCAGCAGACAAAAAGGTCTCATTTACCAGCAACAACCAATGCTTCTGCCTGCTTTAGCCACAAACTAATTATTTCTGTGTGAGTATGTGTGAGGACACATCTGAAGAACAGACCAGGAGATAAACGAAACACCCACCTGGCTGTCAGAGAGCTCAACACATTCATTAAAACCTAAAATCACTCTGAAGCCCTCTGCATCAGCAAAGGGGGAGGTGGCTGGAGGCATCGTAACATGATTACACATAAAATTAAACTAAAAATGGATGCATCTGCATTTTTTTTATTAAAACACTATTAATTTCCAAACTAACAGTTAGTAAATACTTGACTTTATAAATGCACAACTACAGCGCAGGAATGGGAGCAGCCTGGTCTGGAACGAGACTGGCTCTCATAACGTTCCCAGCTGCTGGGCAGAGTCAGACACTCGGAGGAAGGAGAAGTATCCTCCTAATTTCCCCTAACAGCCACAGATTAGTAGATGTTTTTAAATATTCAAGAGTTCAAAATCCAGAATGAAGAAGCTGATTTCTTAAAAACAAACAAAAAAAAGTCAAATCCAGTCTCTTAAATCTATTTAAAAGGTTGAACTGAAAAAAGATAGTGGAAGCAAATGCTCTATTCTTTTACAGCCTCAGGAGGAAACCAGATAAAAATACATTAAGATGAAAAAAAAACCTAAAATAAAAACAAAAGTACATAATGTCCCATATGTTTGAATGAATGGAGCAGGACTTCAAATGTGTACTGGAACCAGCCACTAGGGGGCGTGAGGTTAAATCAACAGACAGTCTCAGAGTCATGGGACTGACTACAGTCGGTACAGACCAGGCCGTGGATAGGACCAACCTGTGTGCCGATGAGCAGGTACGGAACACTGGGAGCGTATTCCTGCAGCTCAGGAACCCATTCCTCACGCACGTTCTGGAAACTAGCCGGGTTGACCACGGAGAAGCAGATGAGGAAGACGTCTGTCATTGGATAGGACAACGGCCTCAGGCGGTCGTAATCCTCCTGGGAAAAGCATGACTGTTACTTTTTGGCCAACAAATCTGAATCATCTCAACTTTCTCAGAATCTAAGTGAAAACATCTCCCGTGTTGTTCAGGAGTGCCATCTTTAAACTCTGAATTAAAAGGGGACAGCTTATGTGAATCAGACCTTCTGTGCTGTGTGGGTTTCTTCTGCCTCTAGGAACACTCCAAACATGAAAAAAAAAAACTCATCCATCCATTTTCTGTCAGCTCTTGGTTTTAAAAATGACCTAAACCCTAACCCTGAAACCGTTTCGTTTAAAAAAACTAGAAAATTCAGATTGCAGAAGTAAAAACGTCTGCATGACTGACCCATTGTTGCGAGTGTGCAATAGTGAGTTAGGAGGTCTGGATTAATGTTGGGTGCGTCTTGTGTTTGCCCTGCAGATTATAATCCACTCATTCTTCTTTACGAGCCCCGTCATCGGGAGCAGAACTGCCAAAAACCGACAGATTTAATAAGGAGAAGCGCTCCTGATGATGCTGCCATGCTTGTGTGACTTTACATTTGGGTTCAGACGATCAGCTGAATGAAGAACACAAAGAGTCTGTTTCTAAAGAGTCAAACTTTATAAAATAGCTTTTGTTTTAGGGAACATGAAGCTCTGACCAGCCAGCCATGATCTGACGGGATGCGTCAGAGCCCCAAGCTGTGACTCATCACCATCACAGGCCCAGATGATTGTGAGGATAAATCCAGTTTTGGGTTTGCATTTCACCAGAAGAAGCAACAGGAGCAGGAGGAAATGATGGAACAGGATGTATGGAGGGAAGGAAGGAAGGTGGGGGAGGAAGAAACGATGACTCATTCTGAATCAGCAGGACTCGCTCTGACTGAATGAACATGAGTTCAGCCTGATTTCAAATGATTTACACACAGAGTTGATCTCCAACACCTTCAGAGGAGGTCAGTGCCTGCCCCATACCCAGAGGTTTGCAGGCTCAAGCCCTGGGGCCTCATTTATCAAGCTTGCTTACGCACAAAACGGGGTCGGAAAACTGCGTAAGCAACTTTCCACGCAAACTTTGGGATTTATAAAAGAAAACTTAGTGGAAAAATGTGCGCAACTTTAAGTTGGCTAAGGACCTGGCTTACGCACATGTTGGGCATGGAGAGCACCTGCAGTGCTGCTGCTGAGAAGATACAATTATGCAATCCTGCAGCATTATCACTTGTACCGCTTCATTTTCTCACAGAACAAGACCCCCCACACGCAGACACACACACACACACACACAGCCTGAAGCGCAGAATGCGGAATGCAGAATATCAGCAGGGGGACAGATTGAGACAGAATGTCATGCGTCTGTGACAGTGTATGTGTCTTGTCACTGTGACCCGATTGATCATGCACCCTGGCTACTTGGTCAAGGGAGATATCCGTTTGGGTGACTGGTTAGCGCGCGCGACTTTCACCTGCAAGTCTGGGGATAGAATCCTGATTGGACCTTTTTTATTAATATCCGCCACAGATCTCTCTGAATAACTCACAACATTGACGGCTTCAGCAATGCTGTGCCACTCCGTGGATTTTCTCTTATTTGCTTTGCAAAAGCACTTCCTTTCATTTATCCACCTCACCAACAAGTACCCCAACTTCTGCTTGTGAAATAGCGCTTCCTTGATCTGCGGTCGTGATCAAAATGCTGCAACAGCCGGCTTATGTATATGAATGAGATCCACAAGGCACTTTGCATTGGCTATTTATGGCAGTAAGTGGGCGGGGTGAGGGCGGGATGTGACTAAAAAGCAGCTGGGAAACATTCTTGTTAGTCTCCGATTTATGAAGCGGAGATTGCGTGCAGCTGTGCGTACTCCATGTTTGATAGATCACAAACCTGCTTGGCGTAAGTAAATTTTTTTTGCTGAGCTTAAGTACGGTTTTAGTAAGGAATCTATGCAATGTTTTATAAATGAGACCCCTGGTTGTTGCAGTTGTTGTGTCCTTGGGCAAGACACCTCACCCTCCCTGCCTGCTGGTGGTGGTCGGAGCGATGGGTGGCATGTGCGTGGCAGCATCCCCTCCGTCAGTGAGCCCCAGGGCCGCTGTGGCTATGATGTAGCTTATCATCAGCAGGGTATGAATGGGTTGTGTTGTAGATACGACTGATGAGTTTCTGGTCTTTGTTACGAACACAGTCAGGATTTACAAGACCAGCCCACGTTCATCAGAAACAAGCATGGAGTAGTCCGAGTCTGAGTCCAACAATAAAAGATCATTTTTACGCACAGATTCTGCTTTTACAATGTCCCACTAGTTGTCACACACACTGATGTGTGGCCGTGCTCGGGAACCATTTGGTGGTTTAACCCCCCAATCCAACCCCTTAATGCTGAGTGTCAAGCAGGGAGGCGTTGGGTCCCATTGTTGAAGTATTTGGTATGACCCGACCGGGATTTGATCCTTGATGTCCCAGTCTCAGGGCAGACACTCTACCACTAGGCCACTGAGCTGCTGTTGTTTGAGATGAAATATGTCTGTGTTACGTTCTATTAAAGGTTCCTGAACATCTCAGCTGATCAAAGACACAACGTCTGTAATCAAAATCAAACCAAATCAGGTTTATGTGAATAGCACATTTAAATGCAACAGTGTTGCCCAAAGTGCTGAACATAGACATATAAAAACATAAAAAAAAATACAAGCAGTCAAGTAAAAATACAATAAAATATAAAAAACAATACGTAAACAATCAGACATAAATGATAAAAAACAGGACTACTGGATTAGTAAAAGCTGTCGAGTAAAAGTACGTTTTCAGTAGCTTTTTAAAAATGGCAACAGATGTCGCCTGCCTAATGGCAACATATTCCACAGTCGGTGCTGCCACAGAGAAAGACCTACACCTGGGTCAGTTCATACTTAATAACATCATCGCCTATCACAGCTATGCTGATGACACCCAGATCTACCTAGCCTTATCACCTAGTGACTGTCATCCACTGGACTCACTCTGTCAGTGCCTAGAACAAGTAAACGTCTGGGTGCAGTCAAACTTCCTTCAACTAAACAAATACAAGACTGAAGTTATTGTCTTTGGCAACAAGAAGGATAGAATGGATGTTATTGCTCAGCTAGACTCTAGAGGTATAAAGACAAAAACCCAGGTTAGAAATCTTGGTGTTATTGACTCCAACCTGAACTTCTCTGGACATATTAAGGCTATAAATAAGTCAGCGTTTTATCACCTTCATCAAACATCAAGAGTCAGAGGTCTCATGTCCAGACCAGACTTAGAGAAACTCATTCATGCTTTTATTTCTAGTCGGCTGGACTACTGCAATGGTCTCCTAACTGGTCTTCCAAAAAAGCTGTGAAGCAACTGCAGCTTGTTCAGAATGCTGCTGCTAGAGTCTTAACAAGAGAACGGAGCACATCACTGCTGTTCTTAGATCCCTACACTGGTTACCAGTAAACTACAGTATAGGCTCCAAAGTGCTACTACTAGTTTATAAACCACTCAATGGCATGGGTCCAAAATACATGTCCGATCTCATTCCTGTGTCTACACCCAATAGGGCTCTGAGATCCTTAGGATCCAATCAGCTGGTAGAACCTTGGTTCAGAACCAAACATGGTGGAGATGCATTTAGTTATTATGCTACACACATATGGAATCAGCTTCCCCATGACCCCAGATCTGCCTCAACCCTAGTGTTGTTTAAAACTAAACTAAAACCCTAATGCACTCATCAGCCTTTACATGAATTGTTTCTTATCATGCTTTCATCTCCACTGTAATCTGTGCTGTAAATTAGTCTTCTCCTTTAGCTCTAAACTGTAATTCTATCTGTGTGCATTTTAATTTGTTTTTTATGTTGTTTTCATATCATGTCCTGATGATTGTAAAGCACATTGAATTGCCTGTGTTTGAAATGTGCTCTAGAAATAAAGCTGCCTTGCCTAAAACATCTTTTCTGTAGCCTCGGTAGGTACACTCAACCTATGCTGGTCAGCCGAACGCAATCCACGAGACGGAACATATGGCACGAGGAGTTCAGATAAATAGCTAGGAGCAAGTCCAGGCAGATCCAACATGGAGTCTCAGGTAATTCTCTCACTCAGCTCAGCCTTTTCATTTCTAACTGCAGCTGCCCCAACATTTGCACATGTACAAGAGCGTGCAGGGGTCTAATGGTGCAGCTTTTAGTGGCTATAGCTGGTGTAGTACAAGTACACCAAAGTACTTGATGAATCTAAGGATTCTTTATTAGAACAATGTTACTAAACTGTATTTTAGCTGCAGGCTTTCCTTGTTCTGCATCAGGTAAAACAGCTATATGCATGTCTAGTTTTACAGTTTAATGAAATA